AGTAAACATGTATAATATATAACCAAATAAATAAGAAACGTAGAATGTTTATTAGCAAAACGAATAAGAAAGCTTGGAGGCACGGCATACACCTTGATGTCAAATAAAATAAATAAATTACACAACGTTTAAATAAAGTAAAAATCAGCAAACACTGTGGAACCAATTAAATAAGAAACGAATGTTTAAAAAACCTTCCAAAATCACCTTAGATAAACGGCAAAAGTCAACAGGCTTTTCAAAATCCAAAATACTGCCAAACAGGCGCTTTTGCATCTCGTTTCGAAACTAAATCATCCGCGATCGTCTTGTCTGTCTCACCTCACTCTTCTTGTCAGTCAGCTGGACTCATGCACTCTCCTCACTGGAGAAATGAAATCTGATCTGTGATGCGACTGTCGTTCGGCACGCTGCATTGAGCAGCCGCATTCAGTTTTTAATTGTAGTGTCTGTTCTTTTACTGAACTAAATTATTGTTTCTTACTATAAAAAATCTAAACGACGGTGGGGGTCGGTGCCGCGGTGGGCAAGTGACGTAACCGGTGTTGCGGCTTAACAACGGTATCACCGTCAGCACCGTCTATCGCGGAAAGCCTAAATGTGAACTTTATCATGTATATTTTGGTAAGGTTGTCTGACTCTGTAGGCTTAAATGGTCAGCCCTGTTAATATGGTTTTGTTCAGTAAACAACTGATAATCGAAAACTTTATAGCAATATTGGCATCTTTTTTGTAGCATCATGACCTTGAGCACAAAACTACGTAAGAACGTTGAAGTTGTCAAACCTGTTACATTTAGAACGGCATAGCTACTATATAATATCAACATATATATATATATATAAGGGGAATTCGTGGCCTAATGGTTAGAGAGTCGGACTCGTAACCCAAAGGTTGCGGGTTCGAGTCTCATACCGGCAGGGATTGTAGGTGGGGGGAGTGAATGTACAGCGCTTTCTCCCACCTTCAATACCACGACGCTGTGGGCAATGAGGCTGGCCACTGCTCCGGGGGTGTGTGTTCACGGTGTGTGTGTTCACTGCTGTGTGTGTGCACTTTGGATGGGATAAATGCAGAGCACTAATTCTGAGTATGGGTCACCATACTTGGCCACACTTCACTTCATATATTTATTTAGCCTATTAAATGGTGAGATTTTAGTGCGAGATTTTTCAAAATGTTAGAAGTTAATGTGAACCAGTCATGGTTGTAGATAATGTGGTAACTGGTTTAGTTGATTGATTAAATTGGACTGACATATTTGATATAGATTGGTGTCTATGCTGGTCAGTGTTATGTACAGCATTGCCTGGAAATACGAGGGAATTTGAGCTTTCCACAACATTTAAAGTCATAGAAATATGTGGTTTTAGAGTTTCCTTTGGTTCATTAGCTTCATGAGTGTTCTGTATAAAACAATTATTCAAATTCTCTAATCAGAAATCTCAAACAACTAAAAAAAGTCATGTGAATTCATTGGTCAAAAGGCGTGGGAACTCTGTCTTTGCTTTCATGCTGTTGCACTTGTTTCTCTTATGCGTCATGTATCATTGGCATGGAAATGTGCTATGGTTACTTTGTGTTCTCTGAGCAGAAACGTGCAACTGAAAATGAAAAAAAAAAAGAAGAAAATTAATGATCAAGGTCAAAGTTTTGTGGACTTTGAAGGCTTGAAGACATACTCTGAGTCTGACGCTTGCCTCATATAAAAATAGATACAGGCCATCGTCTGTGTATTAGCTTCTGTGAAGTTTACAGTTTCGGTTAACAACTTCTGTAAACTCGATTTGTACGGCCTTTACAAGTTTACAGGGTCAAGCTTTACCAACATGCTGTCTGTTTTAATATTGTGTATAGGACGTTGTACCAGTTGACCAGTGTTTGACTTGTGTTAAACTTATAAAAAATTATATAATTTTTAATATTTTAAAGCGTTGTTAAAATAACAGATAATGTATTAGTGAACTGTACTTTACCTGAGGGCTTTTTCATAATACTAAATAATTAATCAGTTATTTCAGGTTCACTAGGGTGGTTAACAGCAGAGTTGTTCCAGTTGTGTTGTGTCACACAACCGAGTAGATGAGTTCAGTTCTTTCTTTGTCTTTGAGCATGAACAGTGTTCTGTGAAGTGCGGAACAAGAATAAGGGAGTTATGTTTTCTACAGTTCAGTCTTTTACCACCTGTAAGGCCTAATTTACATCCAAAATCCTTGTCAATACAGAAATGGCATTGCTTTGTGTTCTTTAGTATATTCAGAATGTTGTTAACAAGATGAATCTCAAACAAGACGTTCACCTACCCTGCAGCCCTTTATGCAGAAAAATGTCACAAAACTATTATGAATGATAACAACCTCTTTATAAATATGCAGTGTTCTCTTAAAACATGTGCTGCCTGTTTTTAAAGGTTCAGCAACATTTTTGAAGGATATGCAAATTTATTCATTTGAATTTTCCTTTTTTTGAACTGCCATTTTCCTTTTATGTTGACAGTTTATATAGAATTCTAAAGTTTGGAGTCTACAAGATTGTTTTAATCTTTTTGAGAGAAGCCTCTTGTGTTCACCAAACTGCTTTTCTGTTTATTGAGGCAATTTCAATCTTATGTATTGCAGCACTTTGAGTGTGATGGAGTTTTATAAATAAAATGTATTTTAAATATTACTATTATTTATTTGATCAAAAATACAGCAAATGCAGTAATATTGTAAAATACTATTACATTTGAAAATAGCTGTTTCTATTGTAATATATTTTATTTCTGTGGTGCAAAGCTGAATTTTCAGCATCATTACTCCAGTCTTTAGTGTCATATTATCCTTCAGAAATCATTCTAATATACCAATTTGCTGCACATGGAACATTTCTTCTTATTATCAGTGTTGAAAACAGTTGTGTTGCTTAATTGATATTAATATAAGCATTAATATTAATATAAAATTGATATTTTAAAGGATTCTTTAAAGAAATGAAAGTTTATAAGAACAGTGTGTATTTGAAATGGATATGTCTTTACTGTCACTTTTGATCAATTTATCGTGTCCTTGCTGAATAAAAACATTAAAAGTATTGAAAAAAAAAAACTATTTTACTGACCTCAGAACTCTTTTGAACTGTGGTTTATGTGTATGTAATGTGTACTATGTTACAGCATGTAGTGATGTGAACTGTTATACTTTATCCAGCATGAAGGAAACAAACTAATCTAATGTGCACTTAAAACAAGTTATACTTAAATTCAAATGTGTTAAAGCTTGCTTCTGTTTTTCACTTTCAGGGGGCTGAATTCAAAGGCTTTGAAGTTCAAGATGAAAATAGCAGCACCCTGGTTCGCGCTGGACGAAATGCATGTAAACGTAAGTGTGACTTAAGATGCAAATTGTCCTGAGAATCTTTAAAAGTCTGTTGTTTCATTGTGTTTGTATGTTTTTTTTATCTTAAATTCATTCCATACAATTAAAAAAAATACCACAATCGTGTACAACAGGGTAGGGATGCACCGATATGAAAATTTTGGCCGATACCGATAACCGATTATTCTTTATTTTTGAAAGCCGATAACCGATATGTTGGCCGATAAATCTATATCCAAATTGTTATATACTTTTTGAGAGCCTGATTACAAAAAAGGTCTCATCATTAAAAGCCACATCCCAAACACTTCAACATAAGCAGCCTAGTCTGAACGGTGTACGTTTTAAAAATATTTTTACTCTCCCATTACCAAATTTAGTCATAAAAAAGTCTTACAAATAAATAAAATTATGCATAAATAATGCAAACAAGTCACTGGACATCATTACACGTGTAAAGAATCAAAATGAATGCGCCATAGATCAATAAAACGGAATAGCCTCTGCACGGACAATAATTAAATGATTTTAATTACTAAACCATATTGTTGATGAAAATAATAAGAGAAAAATACAAGTGGTTGTTGTTATTAATAATATATCAATGATTTTGAAAAAGTAACAAATTAATACCACTGTTTTAAATAGCAGCCGTTGAGCTGCACGTGCTGAAGCTGAAGAGCTGAATGAACACGGTAAACTGAAGCGTTTTGCTGGCAGCTTATTTAACTCAAGGAAATGCATCCTGAGATTAATATTAATACAACATAAACATAATATTACAACTTATATATGTACAAAATGACGCAGTTATTGCATGCTATAGTCAGAATGTGTGATCCTGTTGTGGATGCGCTCTTCCCATAACAACGCGCTGAAACACGGCAACTAAACCCAAAGAATTCACAACGTTTTATTATAATAATGTTCTCATTAGAATGTTATATACACGACATTCCCAATCATAGCTATTAATGTTGTGCACTGCTGTTTGAGCTGCGTGTGCTGAGCTAAAGATGATCACCGGTAAACTGAAGCGCTCTTTTAACTTAACCAAACGCATTCTATATGAGATAAATCAGATATACATCAAATAAACACAATATTACAATGTACAATTGCACAAAAGGCTGCAAACGAACAGCGCGCATCTGAAGTGTCTCTGAAGGAAATAATGCATTATTTATCGGCTTTAAGATATCGGCCAAATTTTCTTATCAGGCCGATACCGATAACAGAAAAAATGAGCCGATATGGGCCAATACCGATATGGTGGCCGATATATCGTGCATCCCTACAACAGGGCATCACTTCAAGGACTAATAAACAGTTTTGGCATAGCTAGTTAAAAAGATACTTAGGCTATTATTTAAAAGATACTTATTATTTCAGTCTCTGCTTGATAGTCACTGTAGCCTGTGGTGTAAATGTTTGAATCACTTGATTATATTTAACCACAGTGGAATGAATATAATTGAATTGTAATTGAAGTCGTTCTGTTTCAGGTGTTCGTGTTTCAGGTGTTCGTGTTTCAGCAAAGTCGTCAAAGAGGATACGTCAAAGGGGGTCTCTTCTAGTGTCCCCTTTTGTAGAAAGCACAGGTTCCCATGATTCTCAAAATGATTCGGGTTCTGTTCAGCAAATTCACAGTCAAGAGTCCCTTAAGGACACATCAGTAGATGATGATGGTGGTGGTGATGGAGGATTGGGGAAGCGCACCAGGAGAAAAAGAGGGTCGACAAAACAGGAGACCCAGTCAACTCCAAGAATTACAATCAAGTTGGTGGCTAAAAAGAAAGTGGTTACAGTCCCATCAGTGCAACGTAAATCTGGTAAAAAACAGAAGGAAATTAAATCTGAAGTTACCGAGAGTCAGTGTGCCCAAATCTCAAGTGCTCATGTGAAATTAAAGACAAATGTACCAGCCAGTGAATGCAGTGCTG